TTATAGCGTATCCAAAGTCATTTTATCCCCGAATCTGCCAACTGTAAACAAAAGCATTAATCTATAAAAAGTGTAACAATATAAATATTGAGTAATGTGCTGTATAAAAACCAGGGTTGAGAGAAATCATAAATTATATTGGTAAATCTAGGTCAATACAGAAACAACCAGTTTATCTATCTATCTATCTACATATTAAAAAATATGTTTATTTCTGTCTATCTATCTATCTCTCTATTCGTCCTTTAATTGCATTTTTTAACCATCAGAAAACACTACCTTAAAAATTTTCCTTGATAAATATCGACTTGTTCGATTTAGATTCAATTATTTTACTTGTAATTAAACCTGTTTCTAACGGCTCGCTTATCGGACAGTTACCAAAGGAATTGAATAAACCCTTTTTTAAACCCTATTTTTACAAAGGTCTTCCCAAAGTTTAAACTACTAAAAAATAAACTCTATTTATTGATCTCTATAATCATGTTGAATCTGATCAACTCTACTACTCTGTCTTAAACTCTCTCATAGCTATCCAACCTTTGCAACTGTTGCAAGAATGGGTTAAGAACCCCTTTTTTTCAGGCGGCGCGCAAACCGGGCCTATCTGTATAAAAGAGTTCTTTACCTAATGAAACTATATTTATATATATATATACAAAACTATATTTATATATATATACAAAAATATATTTATATATATATATACAAAAATATAAAGCTTTAGTTCGTTGCAGAATTGAATCTTTGTTACGAATTTAGATTTTCTAATTATAATATGTACCCCAATTAGTATAGACGGCCTTGAAGTTTTAAACTATGAATTCTGTTAGATCAGTTTATCAAATCTGTCAGATTAAAAAATCACGTTTGTAACATCAAAGGTTAACTTTCGAGTCAAACCTTTTAAATCGCGGGCTCAAAATTGGGAATCGTTTTTCCTGTTTTATAAACATTTTGAACTGTTGGCTTTTAGAAGACTTTACAAAATCTTAGAAGTTCAACTTACTTTAAAAATGTATGCTTTTAATGTTTGTGCTTAAGCACTATAAATTACGCAATGCGTAATCTTCAAAACAGTTTAAAACGAATCTCAAGAAATGAAAAGACTGAAATTTATTTTTATAAAATAAGAAACTTACTTAATTTTTTTACCTTATAAAGTTTGGTTCATTATAAACACCAAATTTTCATAATGTAGATAAAAACTTGGACGATTTTTTAAATCTTGCGTTAACGAACGATTGGTTTTGCTTCGTTCAGACATAAACATTTTCTGTCAGAGTTAACATTAAGCTGCAGCTCAGTTTTAAACTTTGTAATAAAATATTTACAGAGTTCACATGTATTTATGGAGCTTCCTTAAAGCCAAAGAATATTAAAAAATCGAATGAAAAACTATAATGTCTTTCTCAGTTGCATCTACATAATTTTAGAAGTTTGCCCCTTCATCTCTGTTTAATATAAATTCTGCGTGCAAACTTGCAATATAAACAGTGCACACATTCTAATTCTAATTTGTATTGTGATATTTAAAACTGTTTCTTCTCATTTAGATCTGTTTTCGGTATTTTATATTAGCAAATCGAAAACAATGATACTCCAGGGGCGTATTCAGGAGTTTGTACAGGTGGGAGGGACTCTTCCACGGGGGCTCACCATCCGCTGAGGCCTGAAAACACCCTGAAATCCATAGATTTCACATGGTCCTGGGGGGGGGGCTGAAGATCCATAGCCCCCTCCCCTCCCTGATTTCAAACTCATACGTGTATGAAAAGAAAGAAAATGGAAAAAGCATATCCAAACCTAAATTCGTATTTTAATTTTTCAGATTTTATTTATGAACAATCAAGAACCTCATATGATTCCTTTTAGTAACAATCCCTTTCCAATGTCAGATTCTATCTTGTGAACAATCCTCTATTTATGAGACTATTCCAGGTTTTTACTTTATCATTATTCTGGTTGTATTCAAAGTGTAGGGTTGTATTGTTTAAACTACAAATATGCGTTGAAATTGAAACTCTCCTGGAATATTAATATCTTGTCTCTTCTTCATATTTTAACATGTTTAGTAAACAAATATATATTGAACAACTTTTTCATTTTACTATTCTTCCAGAGATTACAAATATATATTAAACCACTTTTTCATTTTACTATTCTTCCAGGGATTACAAATATATATTAAACCACTTTTTCATTATACTATTCTTCCAGTGATTACAAATATATATTAAACCACTTTTTCATTCTACTATTCTTCCAGAGATTACAAATATATATTAAACCACTTTTTCATTATACTATTCTTCCAGAGATTACAAATATATATTAAACCACTTTTTCATTGTACTTTTCTTCCAGAGATTACAAATATATATTTAACCACTTTTTCATTATACTATTCTTCCAGAGATTACAAATATATATTAAACCACTTTTTCATTATACTATTCTTCCAGAGATTACAAATATATATTAAACCACTTTTTCATTATACTATTCTTCCAGGGATTACAAATATAACTTAAACCACTTTTTCATTATACTATTCTTCCAGAGATTACAAATATATATTAAACCACTTTTTCATTGTACTTTTCTTCAGAGATTACAAATATATATTAAACCACATTTTCATTCTACTATTCTTCCAGGGATTATAAATATATATTAAACCACTTTTCATTCTACTATTCTTTCAGGGATTATAAATATATGCTAAACTACTTTTCATTCTACTATTCTTCCAGTGATTACAAATATATATTAAACCACTTTTCATTCTACTATTCTTCCAGGGATTACAAATATATATTAAACCACTTTTTCATTCTACTATTCTTACAGAGATTACAAATATATATTTAACCACTTTTTCGTTCTCTACTATTCTTCCAGAGATTACAAATAAATATTAAACCAATTTTTCATTCTACTACTCTTTTAGCGATTACAAATATATATCAAACCACTTTTCATTTTTCTTTTCTTCCAGAGATTACAAATATATATTATACCACTTTTTCATTCTACTATTCTTCCAGGGATTATAAATATATATTAAACCACTTTTCATTCTACTATTCTTCCAGAGATTACAAATACATATTAAACCACTCTTCATTCTACTATTCTTCCAGTGATTACAAATATATATTAAACCACTTTTTCATTCTACTATTCTTCCAGTGATTACAAATATATATTAAACCACTTTTCATTCTACTATTCTTCCAGGGATTTCAAATATATATTAAACCACTTTTTCATTCTACTATTCTTCCAGGGATTACAAATATATATTAAACCATTTTTTCATTCTACTATTCTTCCAAAGATTACAAATATATGCTAAACCTATATTAAAAATAAGTAACAAATTTGAAACCATTTCACCATTGTTTTCGAAAAGTTGTCTTTAACAAAAAATTTATTTTGAATCAAAAATCATTTTTGGGGAATTATGACCAAATTTTATCTTAGCAATAGAAATCTTAGTAAATAATCTGTGAGTAAAAACATAATATTTTTGAAAAAAGGGATAAATAATATAATTTGTAATAAAAATCTATACTTACGTAGAAATAAAGTTTTAAAACATAAAACTTAAAAATCATGAAAAATAAAAAAATGATTTATATGTACGTTGAAAATGAAAGATTGGAGATAATGACTGTAAGAACAAAAGATTAAATAAATGCTCTACAGTCGTCTCTGAAGTCTCATGGTAACCCTGTATATTTTACATATTATCAGCTGTACGAAGATATTATTATGAATATTATTTCCCATCTGAACCATTTTTTATCTTTAGAATATCTGAATATGAATCCCTCCATGAGTAAATAAACGTTTACTATTGTTAAACTCAAACTGAAATATATCCCTTGTCAGATTCTTCCTTAGTGGAGGGATCATTCACATACTTCCAGGGATCATTCACATCACTTCCAGGGATCATTCACATCACTTCCAGGGATCATTCACATCAGTTCCAGGGATCATTCACATCACTTCTAGGGATCATTCACATCACTTCAAGGGATCATTCACATCACTTCTAGGGATCATTCACATCACTTCCAGGGATCATTCACATTAATTCCATGGTTTATTCACATCAGATACGGGGATCATTCTCATCAGTTCCAGGGATCATTCACATCAGTTCTAGGGATCATTTATATCAGCTCCAGGGATCATTCATATCAGTTACAGGGATCATTCATATCAGGTTCTGGGATCATTCACATCAGTTCCAATGATTATTCATCATCAGTTCCAGGGATCATTCAAATTAATTCCATGGATTATTTACATCACTTCCAGGGATCATTCCCATCAGTTCCAGGGATCATTCACATCGGTTCCAGGGATCATTCACATCAGTTCCAGGGATCATTCACATTGCTTCCAGGGATCATTCACATCAGTTCCAGGGATCATTCACATTGTTTCCAGGGATCATTCACATCAGTTCCATGGATCATTCACATTGCTTCCATGGATCATTCACATTGCTTCCAGGGATCATTCACTTCACTTCCAGGGATCATTCACATCACTTCCATGGATTATTTAAATCACTTTCAGGGATCATTCACTTCAGTTCCATGGATTATTAACATCAGTTCCAGCGATCATTCTAATTAATTCTTGGGATCATTCACATCAGTTCCTGGGATCATTCAAATTAGTTCCAAGGATTATTCATCATCAGTTCCAGGGATCATTCATGTCAGTTCTAGGGACCATTCATTTGCAGCTCTATAGATCATTCATAAACAATTCCAGGGGTCATTTGCATAAGTGCCAGGCACTTTTTATGAACAGTTCAAGGGATAATTTATAAACAGTTCAAGGGATCATTTATGAACAGTTTAAGGGATCATTCAAATCGAAAAAATGCGAAATGAGACCTAACATTTTCGCATTTTTTCGCAACACTTTTCGTTGGGTGGAAACCCTAATGTTCAACAATTACGTACTCAATATCTGTTTATGTTTATGTTTATTTTAGGATTATTTTCAGGACTCCTGGCGAAGTACATAGAAAATTTCCGATTGTTGTCATGATATTCATATGGTTGCATATATCACATTAATATACAGAGTATATTATATTCAATAATTGCGAATATCCAGTGAATCAAGATTAAAAATAATGGACATTTATTTTTTTTTTTTTGGTAGAGTTGGAAAGGTATCAACCTGTGGGTAACAACAGTCTTGAGCACCCCCATGAGAATATCAGTTGCTAGAGTCCTTTCGTGAGCTTCGTCAAGCAATATAACCTACAACACAAATATTCAAGTATTAAACATCACTAACTAAATTTTCAGGATTTAGTCATAAAATATCCTTCAAATTAGAAAGAAGTTTAACCTAATCAAATGTAGTCAGATTTAATACGAGTACTGGTAAACTACCTGATAGTTCTCTAACATTGGATCACTCATAGCTTCTCTCAGCAACATACCATCAGTCATGTACTTGAGAAGAGTTCTAGGCCCAGAACAATCCTCAAACCTATATATCAACCATATTAAAAAAATGTGTATAAACTTTAAAAAATATGTTAAAAATTGTAATTTTTTATAAAATACCAATTTTATCCAATTTCCTCAAGACCAAGCGGTAATACCTGATAGAGTATGCCATCTCCTGATCTAGAGTTATTCCTGATAGAGTACCCAACCTCCTGATCTAGAGTTAATACCTGATAGAGTACCCAACCTCCTGATCTAGAGTTAATACCTGATAGAGTTTCCAATCTCCTGATCTAGAGTTAATACCTGATATAGTATCCAATCTCCTGATCTAGAGTTAATACCTGATAGAGTACCCAACCTCCTGACCTAAGGATACATCCATCTCTTCTGCTACTCTCTGCGCAACAGACATAGCTGCCACCTATACAAAATAAAATATAAATTTAATAAATCAGAATTCATTTCATCAAGCGAGAAATATTAATGAAAAATCCCTATTGGCAAGGTCTAATGAATGTATTTATAAATAACTTGTAACAAAATAGGTAGGTCGAAAAATAAAACTGGTTGAAGGATATTTAATACTTTTCACCCAAAACTTCATTTAGTTTTACCTAAAACCCCAACCCCAAATCAGCGAATACCCACATTAGCAAACTTCAGCTCACGTAAACATCTGGAGTTAACAATAAATTCCAAAAAGGGAGTAGATATATGATTTTTCAATCAAATATACACCCCGGCCCTGCCTACTACTTAGACTTGAGCACTTTAAACAGATTTTGCGTTCTTCTCAAAATATGTTTTTCAGCAATGGCTTTCATTTCTGTTTAGAGGTTGATCCCGTTATAAATCTTACTTACCCTCCTGGGTTGAGTACAGGCGACTGTCTTTTTCCCCATAGATTTAGAGAAATCTACACACCACTGGGGGATCTGGGTCGTCTTTCCAGAACCTAGAATATTTGGAGACCATTTGCTGTGCATTCATACCATAACTACTTTCAAAACAACGAGAGAGTAAAAGGTTCAGGAATTTTATCAACGGCAGCGTTTCGGATCCGGATCCGTATCAGGAAACGTTGATATGGATCTCGCAAATTTCAAATATATAAAGTATTCACAGAATCAAAAGTTACCTCGGATCCGGATCCGTATCAGAGTCAGGATCCGGATCCATCATCACGGATGCGGATCCGCGGATCCGCATCAAAATGATACGGATCCGAAACACTGATCAACGGGCAAAGAATAAACCCCTTTCCATTCCTTAACTTTCAGAGCTCTTTAAACAAATTTAATCCAGATGAGAAATAAATATGTAGACATTTTAATGTTTTGGTAAGGAGATTAGATTTTTCATTTAAATGAGATGAGGATATCAAAGTGAAGAGTTATCCAGAAAAAGTATTGCGTACTATAATATTCTTGATTTAAAAATAACCTGTTTCTCCGACTAAACAAATATTCTGGTGTCGAGCCAAGAGATCTAGAAACTTTTCCTGATAATCCCAGACAGGGAGCTGGCATCTTTTCCTGCAAATATTTATCTATTTGAGACATTGCTTATCTCCAGGAAATGAATGAGCCATTAAGAACTATCATAACAATAACCAAAAATTGCGGTTGTGAATTTGTCCCTTCATTAAATTTGGCTGATCTTTCCGAGTTTTCTTTTTTTGATGTAATTTTGTGTCGTTGATTCAAATAAATAGTGAAACGCTTTTGTATTCTAAATAGTTTTAACTCTAATTGAGTATTTTTTTTTTGATATTTTTCTGTTGTATTGAATTGGAACCGAATAAAATTTATATAATGATAGTATATAACTAAGTTCTGGAACCTAATTATCTAATTATTTTTTTAAAAAATTTATCAAACTAGGCTTTTAGGCGCTTCGAGTCCATCTATTTAAACTTTTAACTGTGGCTCTATCTGTAAGCATCTTCTTTTTGTACAATATAAAACACTAACAAAACAATTTTGCGGATTTAGTAAAAAAAAATTTCACGCATTTTCAAAATGTTACCAAAATTTAAAGACCTTTGGACACAAATTTTTGTAATTTTAAGCATTCATAAACCTTCCCTGGGGTCATACAGGTAGGTCATTTAACTATCAATAATATTAGTTAAATGCTAAGAACTTTAATTCGTACTTAAACATTCATTTTTCCTACTTTCAAAATTTTACCAAATAGGTAAAATTGGGATTAAGGCATATTAAAGTAAGGCAGAGGAGTGAGAAATCAAAAAAGGGCTAATTTAGATTTCCGGCAAGAAGTTAATTACCTGAAAAGTTCGAAATATCTGGGAGAAAAGGGCAGACCAGAGTGAGGATTCATCTTTAAACCAGGGCGGATATCCTCCTCACGGTTCCGTTTAGAGCTCACTAAACAACAAACATTCAAAACATATATTTATACTTAAAAGAGGAGAGGGCCAGAGAACAACTTTTGGACCCCCCCCCCCCCCCC